CGTATGACCATAAAATGTAACATATTTCATTGATTTACGATGGTAAACTTACCGATCTCATGCCATTGACACTAGAAACATTCACAACGCACCCTAAAGCAAAAAAATATATATTACATATTAATAATAATTATTGAATTGGTTTTAAAAATTAGAGAAATGAAATTTAATGCGAGAGAGAATTTAGCTTCTTGGTTTTTGGCATATGTAAAATACATTAAGATTTTACAACTGATTTTAGATACTGGAGAACACCATCACACTACATGTAAGTAATGTTTCATTTAGCTCCGTCGTGATTAATTGACTAACCATCTGAAAACATGAGAAGCAAGTTCTATTTTTGCAATCACTACTGCAACGAAAACGTTGCAAGGCAAGTTCAATCTAGGACGTTCCAACAAGTAAAGGAGAACTTGCTCTGGTAAATTGCAAAAATTGGGAGATTTTTGCTTGACGAAGTAATAAAAAAGGCTAAGTTTTCTCATTTACGCGCCCAATTTTGTAAACGCTGAGGCCTGCGTGTTATTTTGGCAGATATAGTGTACAGGTAGTATGCTTCAACATTTTGGATGTTGTGCAACTTGTATGGTTGACATAACAAAACACTGGATGAGGTCTGACTTAAAATTCTTCTAAAGTTTAATCTAGCTGCATACCAGCATCTAACTGCTTAATTAACATGACGATTGCAAATTTGGATGTGTAGCTGGGAAAAGCGTAAATTGCACCCTTAACTATCCATTCTAAAGCCAAAAAAGTCACCAAACAAAGACCTCGCACTTCATGAGCATTTAAAAGTATCTTTATTGTTTTCTTTACAATCATTGCCAAGCCAAAAAAGCCACCAAAATGCAGGCCTTCAAAAGATGCCCTGACTGTACATCTATATTACTATAGTATGTATAGTACCTTATTAAAAATTACATTCCCCGGCCTTTAATTTCGCAATTTTCGCGATTGTAAAAAAATCGGAAATTAATGACGCGCGAATAAAAATCCTCGCCAAATTTAAACACGCAACATGTAATATACCTGAACATTACATGTAAGTGCAAAGATCTCACATAGATGTATGGAGTAAAAAGTCCAGAGGTAGAGAATCCGTGTGTTAAAAATTGCTTGTTCCATTTTATCCTAAATTTTAATATTAAGTTCCCACTTTTTGAAAGATAAAATGAAAGTGAGAATGCTTGAATCGCGAAGATTAATGCCCTTTTTTCATATTTGCCTATTGGAATCGCGAAAATAAAACCCCGTGAAATACTCTCTCACCAAAATCGCGAAAATTAGTACCAATAAGGTATATGGTTTAAGCTTTGTTTCATGAGATGTTCTCACGCAGCCGAGTCAGTATCTAAGTATCTCTGATGACATAGCGTGTGTTACCTTTTGTTTCTGTCAGATAGGGTACAGCTAAGGATGTCAGGTAAAAAACTGCCCTGTGAATCGGAAGATACAGCACCGTTCAAAAGTAAGTACACTCGATTGTCGATACTCGTAAGAATCGAGAATCGAGACTCGATTCTCGATTGTTGCTTCTCGATTCCTGCGTGAATCTACAACCTTTGTTCAATATTAATATTGTAAACATTAGAGTACTCATGCCAAAGATTTACGTAAAAGCCGAACTGTAAATGGTTTTCCAGTTCCCACAAACATATTTCGCGACCAAAGTGAACTCAGAAACACTTGAAATACTATTCTCTTTTCTGACTATTTCAACTCGGCTATTTTCTTCGTCTCAAAAGTCATTCCACAATTTGACAACTTCATACTTCTCAGTTCAACCTCGCTACAACATGTTCAAGCAGAGGTTAAAAGTTTTTGGACCTGAATATCACCATTAACAAACTCTTTCCAGTTAGAGGGCTCATCAAACAGCTAAATTACCATGTGCACTGAGGAATAACCAACCCCTTCCCCCTGAAAAAAAAAAAAACCTTTTATCTCATTTCAGTTTTGTCATTGGGTTTCAACAAGGACACCAACACCTTTTTTTCTATGCACCCGTTACTAGTTTACTTTAGGAATTTAACGTGATGTACATATCACCTTGTATTTATCCGCATTACTTTGTCAAATGATTCCAGGGATGTACTTTCAATAGTTCCTTTAGCAACGATACCGGCATTATTAACCTGTAGTATAGGAGAAAATATTTAAGTAATAGAAAACGTTTTCGGTGTTTGTATAGCCTGATATAAACATGAGAGGGGTTGGGAGAATTCGAGACAGTTATGCAAACCCAAGATGAAGTCAAGGGTTTGCATAACTGTAGAGAATTCTCCCAATCCCTGGAGAGTTTATATCAGGCTATGCAAATACAGGAAAAAAATTTCTATTGCTTTTATTACTTTTTTCTTTGTTATCTTAATGGCACTGATTAAAAGAGAAATTCTTGCCAGTCGCGAAGTCTTGTACACAAAGTCTCGTTTGCATAACCAGTTCTTGTTTTGCAAAAAATATGCTTTCCACAATATAGACTTTTCTCACTTAAAATGTCAGCTAAGCAGAAACAAATTGACACAGCATGTTTCTAACAATTTTCCAAGTTTCAGCCAATAAGGGAATGGGTAAATAAAGTAAACTTGTTAAGTTTTTAACTAAAAAACGTTTTCAAATTTGTGCTTTCGTGATTAGTGTGCAAAAAGCAAAACATCTTGATGTCACAACCATGTTTACATACTCTTATGCAAACACGCCTCTTGACCAATCAGAGCACACAAATTATATAAATAAGGATTTAAAAATAAATCATCCAAACATTAAGGTCACACAACACATTAATGGAAGATATCATACGCTGCTAAGATGTGTTTGGATATCATCTGATGTGAAATTAAAAACTGCCATTGTTTCCGGGGCCGGATCTTGACTAGGGGGAGGGGCAGGGAGTGTGCACCCCGCCCCCCCTCCCGCCCCTCTGAGATGACCTGCGGCTTTCTAATACAACTGGTATTCTGTATTAAAATTTCTTTAAGTCACCAGTCAGTTACACTATTCCTTCGTGGTGCACCCCCTCCTAAGAAAAATCCTGGATGCCCCCCAGGTTCAAATCTGCAAACTGCTCGAACTTCTAGCCTTCTTAACTATTTAAGCCCTAATTAAAGGGTTAAGAATCAGATCAGTATCAAACCTTTTCAGGACAAGGCTGTGCTCTAGCAGAGCCTGGTGGCCCGTGGCGCCTAACTTTTGTTCTTGGGCAACTCGAAAATCTTAGCTTTTTCATAGAAATCATAAGCTGGGCACACTGGATTTCACAAGTTCAGAGTACTGGGCTCACTTCAATTTTTTTTTAGAGCACAACCTTGCAGGAAAACAACTGATTGGCAATGAAACTTAAGGACATGATTGCACAAGACAATTAACTTTTCCCCAACACTTTTAAAGGAAATGCATGAGGGGAACAAGTGAGTCAGAATTTAAATTTTGATAAATAGGGTTTAGGTGATTAAATAAGGACAATTTAAAATAACCACAGGTCCCATATCAGAGCACGTTCACTGATCTGATTCTTGTGGNACTTTTAAACGAAATGCATGAGGGGAACAAGTGAGTCAGAATTTAAATTTTGATAAATAGGGTTTAGGTGATTAAATAAGGACAATTTAAAATAACCACAGGTCCCATATCAGAGCACGTTCACTGATCTGATTCTTGTGGAAAGTACACTGTAAAGAAACCACTAGGGACTTAACAATCTCTGACTATTCCCCCCCCCCCCAGGGGGCGATCTTCAGACAACTATTTTTCTTGGCTGTTTAATATGTGGTGTCCAGGATGTACATAACATGGTTAACATATATTACATCAAATTCAGTTGAATATTTTGGGTAATAGTCGCTTATACAACCATTATACCATAATTTGAAAGGAAAGTTACTTAAAGGGCTGGGTTTGTGCCATCAACTGCAACAACATTGTTCTTACCAAAATATCCAGCTTTCCAAACTGTTTTATTGTGGCCTCAAGAAGTGCTTTTATATCTTCATCTTTTTCTAAATCACCTTGCACTGGTAAAACCTGACAAAACATCGCACTCTTTCCATTACAAACCATAAAAGACTCCTTAAAGATGTAATCTTGTTTCAAGTATTATGGCTGGGGATTCAAATGAATTATCTAAGTACTTAAAAAATAAATCAATCCAATTAAAATAAATCAAATGAAGTTTTTTGAGTACATGTCTATACATGTATAACTCAAACTCCCAATAACTGAGGGTCCACAGTTGGTTTGCCGGGATGCAGGGTTTGGCTATTTTTTGTGGTGATACTTGGGATGCAAGCTAAAAACAGGAGCGGGAAGAGGGAATTCAATGACAAGTGGGAGCAGGATTTCCTATATTTATAGGGTTGGGATGCCAGAATCCTAGGGATAAAATAGCAGGATTGGGGAATTTTAACGAGGGCTAAGTAAGTTTGTGTAGACAAATGGTGGATTGATTTCCCTAGAACACCTGCTAGAAGGTTCGAATTATCGGGAGTTACTGTGTAATTCACTACATTAAGAACTACTTGTACAGAAGCCTTCTTGGTGGGGTGTATACATATAATATCCCTGGTCTGAATTTTAAAGTGGGTCAGCATTTTCTGCACTGAAAAGAAGGGCATGTCACTGTCGGTATTTTATAATTGTATTTGCGAGTGTCGCAGCTTCAAACCATCTTCATGTTATTTGTCAACATTTCGTCTGCCTTACACCACTGTTTAAAGGCCATGTCGCTTGTTGGAATTTTACCCTAAGGGAGCCTCTGTTATGGCAGTTGGAAATGTTTCAGTGGTTAATGTGTTTTTATTTGATGACTGGACGCCTTTTGGGAGGGAAAAGGTTAATTACCTGAGCATCGCTTCTGGCCTCTTTGCATTTAGCTGCCACATTATCAAGTTCAGTTTTGTTTCTCCCTCCAAAAGCAACACTGCAACCAAGTTTAGACAACAAAAGAACTGCACCTCGGCCAATACCAGAACTTCCTCCTAAAACATATTTATTAGTAAGTTCTATAGTTAAAACATACGAACGAAAAATGATCTTTCGAATAAAGGAACATAATTCAATAATAATCCTTAGCCTATATCCCCCCACCCCACCCCGCGTATGTTTAAATGGGCGTCTGGAAAAGCCGGAAACCGGAATCCGGAATAGGAACGGGAATGGGAACAGGAACCGGAACCGGAACCGGAACCGGAAACGGCAAAGGAACAGTAACAGCAATGTGAAGGGGAACCGATACAAGAACAGGGACATCATTTACTTTAAATTATTTTAATTCTAATTCAATTTATACAAAAAATAAGAAAACTAGTCTGGTATCATGCTCCCCCCCCACGAATCTCTTTATATTACGGAAACGAGAAGGTAGAAAAAGCCGCAAGTTAAATAAGTAAAGCAACAGCTTTGGGAGTGCATCGCGCTTTCTGTCAATTTCTTCACCGCCTATGCACAACTACCACGTCAATGATCAAATCTTAAGTTCTCTTGAGAACGTGAACGGCAGGCGATAAATTTTATTGTGTCTTTCTGAGCTCGGACGCGGTCTCCAGCTTCATTTCCCAACCTTTAAAAGACTGGACAATTTGGAATTAATGAGAAATAGTTTGAATTAAGACCCGAATTCAGTTTCTCAGTGGCGTTTTCGCTGGCGTTGCCGTTTGTCGGATCAGCTCAGATCTTAAGGTTCCTTTTGTCTCTCACAGGAAGGAGGTTATAACATGTTAATATTATTTGTCAGACCATATGTAAACGAGACACCCATCGGAGACGTTTATTGGGCTGCCAAACACCTCTGGTTTGCTGCATAGATATATTGTAATGTGCTAATTTGGGAAGTTAACCTGAGATAGATAGTCAACAGCTTAAAAAGGGTATTAACACGTACCACCTCCCCCCCCCGCCTCCATCACCATCCCAGCCAGCACTTCATCTACCTCAACCGAGTGCAATAGGGACCTTAATAAGCAACCAGAACGTTGACGTCGAGGACATGAGAAATGGAAACTAGAAGTGGATGTTTTCTGTCTTTCGGTGCTCTGACTCAACAAATTCGCACAGTGGAAGGTAAGATGAAGAATTCAGATTCGTTGTGTGAGACAGAAGCGTTCCATCATCGTTCCATCGTTCTCGTTGCTTAAGTTTGCTATTATGTTTGACACGAAAACACAATGTGTCATAGGCTAAAGATAAAGAAAGGTTAATTAGATTAACATTTCAAGGGTGTTTTCTTGTTTCTTTAATTCATTCTCTGGCTTTTTATTTGTATAACGATTATATCTTTTCCTTTTCATTTTTCTATACACTGTTTATATTCCCCTTCCTATTCCGGTTCCTATTCCTTTTTTCCCCTTATTTTTCGTATATAATCTGAATAGGAATTAAATCCAGATTAACTTAAATTAAGGTAAATGTTGTCCCTGCTTTTATACAGGTTTCTCTTCCCATTCCCGTTCCGGTTCCTGTTCCTGTTCCTATTCCCATTCCTATTCCGGATTCTGCTTTCCCGCTTTTCCAGACGCCCTGTTTAAACATAGCTGTATAAAGGTGGCAAGTCCCCCAATCCCATGAAATTTCTACTTACTGATAACAAACGATCCCTCTTAGAAAAGAGAGGAAGAAAAAAGGAGCCACATAATATTCACGTACAACCAAAAAGCATTAGCTAATACCTGTTATCAAGGCAACTTTACCAGAAAACGACCTCTCTTGGGCAGACATGATGATTGTTCTAGCACGTGGTTGAAAGATAGGGGTGCTTATATGAAGTAGTAGCTAGGTATCCGCGCCTGGTAGAATGCGCTTGGGAACTGTTGGACACAAGACCCGCTAAAATGCCACAATACGAGCTGTCATTGATAACAAGAATTTTATCGAAGGTGAGAATTACAGATAGAATTCGAAGCTGTCTACACTTACCTTTAAATCTATCAGGGTGTTAACGTCAATTACCATATAGCTAGAAGTACTTGTTACATCAAAAGTCAGAGTCTTCCCTGACCCTGTGGCTTCCCTTTCCAACTTGTCTAGGAAGATCGGATCTGCTCATCCTCGGTGAAAGAACCTGTGAAACTCACGAGTGACGTAAAGTAAAGGAAGCAAAGAAGTCAACACAATAAAACCTAGAAAACAAAAGGTGAAAAAAAAGAAAAACTTCACAGGTTCTTACACCGAGGTAAACCCGGAAGATCAAGGAGTTTCTCGGGAGGCACATTTGCTGAGGACAGGACTTTTTGTACTGCATGATCATGTAGTTGAGCCTCCTGTGAACGGCCACCCAAAATACCAGGAAGAAGAGGAAATATTAAATCTCCCGGATAGTCGCCGAAGTTTGCCATTTTTTCAGCGGACTCGACTTTCCGACATTAAAATTTCACCCCCACAGGAATTTTCGCCCAGAAGGTGAAATCTCGAGGAGGCATCATGGTAGCTCACGGGTATATTGTAGAAAAGTATGTACTTACAGTTGAAGTATATAATCAGTATGCCAGAAAAACTCTCAATTTGCTTGATCAGGGGCTGCATAGAATTGCTGGGTATTGATAATGTTTCTCCTGTTCACGCCCACAAGTAAGAGGTGGTTAGGGTGACGTAAAACAGAAAATCCCCAAAGGGACCACTTAGGTTGATTTTGGAACAGTGCGTTATTGTACAGTCATACTTTTTTGCGGTAGCATGTTATCAGTGACATACTGTGAAGCAGCTGTTTTAAGAGTTATGGACAAAAAGATCTTGTTAAGTGCAGATGAAGTTGTAAGGTGTGTGTAACTGAGTATGTATATATGAACACCTGGAGAGTTTGCCAGACACGAGTATCATTCACAAATCTTTTGTTGGAAACAATTTGCCAGACACTCTTTCCCTCTCTTTGGGGGAATACGACACAAACAAGCAAGATGAGGGAATCAATGGCTAGCTTATCACTAGCAGAACTATGGAATATTACAGAGATTCGCCGACAATTAAATTCTGTTCTGACATATTGCCTGCTCACAGATGTCCTTTTATTAAGTTTTTTTTAAAGTATTGTTAATAGTTTAAAAAATGACTAGAACACGCGTGGGAAGTAAACTAATTGGGTCAAATGACACAAAGGCAGCACCGTCGGAATTGGAGTCAATTATGAGCATTTTTTGCGCAAATGACATCATAATTATGTCATGCATTATGACATCATCTATCATTACTTCTCTATCAGTTCTAAGTATTTGAAGTCATGGGGAGTTGACAGCCATGTCAAGTCTTCTCAAAGCAAAAGCATGTAAATGTCATTTACTTGTCAGACTTTGTGAAGCCACAACAAAGACTCAAAGAGCATTAATTTTGATTTCAAGCCTGTGTTGTGGGAATAGGCTGATTTTTTTTTTTAACAGAATAGATTGAGCTGTTTGATCAGATGACAATTTTTGAACATGTAGAGCTTAAGCTGTTTGAACTACTGACTATATTTTCATAGTTTATTAAATTCCCTGATTTACTTCTTTAAGGAAATGTGAAAAACTGTATATGGAGATGGGGGCTTAAAGGAGCAAAGGGGCTTTTTCAAGACTTAAATGTTGTGCTTTTTTGACAGGAGGGATTTGCCTCTGTTCTTCGTCGGACAGCTCTATCTATTATGGACAAAGGGGGAGTAGTAAGAAAAATGGAAAACCTAGGAGAGCAAGAGCTTCCCCACAGAATGAGAGCACATACTGAATGGCATACACATGGCAGGTATGTTGGTAGCCATTAATAAAGTACAACTTGAAAAGAAATTATTAATTTACAGTGGAACCTCAATTTAATGTTCAAACCTCTACATGTATATAACCAAGAGCCCATAACCTGGAGTAAGCAGCTCCCTTGTGCTCATGCAAAAGCATTTTTACAGACCAGTTTATTTTTAGATCAATTTTCCCACGAATTTTGACTACATGTATCAAATAAGCCTTACAAATCAATCAGCAAAAACTGGAGACTAAGAAATGTATTTCTGATGTTTTGACAGACGTGAGTATTTGCTCTTTCTTTTTGGTGTAGGTATTTTTGTAGTATTGATGGGCACAAATATGAAAAGGTGCTTCTGTTTTCATGAGAAAAGTACTCTAAACTGATGCTAAAAATAAACTGATCTGTGAAAACGCCGTTGCATGAGCCAAGTATGAGAGTTGCATGCTCCAGGTTATGGGCTCCTTTCTTGGGTTTCTGAGTCATTAAGACAGGTTATTGGCCAGTTCCTTTCTCCTTGCAAATCGGCGGATCATTTCTTCAAGGCCAGATATGAAGCAAGATTTCAACTTGGAAAGTATTTTTATTATTAAAAATATATTCATTAAGTAAAAAAGCAGTGTTAGTACAACTTTTAAATTATAATAAAATTAAACCCCCCTGGCTGAACTTTTTCATTCTATTATTCATTTCTTAGGATTTTACAAAAAGAAATTAGAATTCCTTATTGAACTTATTTTTGGCCACTGTTAGGAAAGGGTTATGCACAGGCACTCCACCTACCCTCATTCCCAAGAAGAAGAGAAAATCCTGGGAATGAGGTTGATACTTCACTTTCCTTGACTTTAGCCTCTGCATAGTTACTATCTTGGCCTGTGTAGCAAGTGTTTCTGTGCAAGTTCGTAGCATGATAAAAGTGCGCTTGTTTTCAATGTTCTGCTGAAAAAACTTATGTAGAAATGCTTGCTGCAGCAAGATATTATTATTATTATTATAATTATTATTATTATTATTATTATTATTATTATTATTATTATTACTATTACTATTATTACAAGTGCCTATATGTTCTAGAATTAACAGTTGCTTTCGAGTGTAACCTTAATAACAATGCAGTGCGTAAAAAAGAAAAATATCTGAACTTGATCAAAGAAATGAGTAGAAATTACAGATGTGTGAAATTTGTAAATCTCTCTTTGAGCTCTCTTGGCATTTTCTCCGATGAATGCTCCATGTTCTTAGACATGATGAATAACATTGGCATTGATAAAATGCAGCAACTTTATATAATCAAGAAAAATTTTCTTATCATTTAATGATAAATATAGCCTTTGTTAGAGCAACATATTACATCTTTTGTTATAGAAATAGGAATTGGGATAGCCCAGACTTAATGCAGTCGGGTTTTTTCTTTTCTTTTCTTTTTTTTTTTCTTTCTTTCTTTTCTTTTTTGAATGATCCAATCTCAAGCTGCATTTGTAAATTGCCCATACGTAGCGAGGTTTACAATTGTACAATAAAGTTTCTATTATTATTGAATTCTTAACATTATCTTGATGTAGGAAAACCTTAATTTGTTCTTGTCGATATTTATTTTCTTTAGATACTTCTTGATGCACTTTGACTTAGGAACAGAAGGTCTGAAGGAACTGAAGCACGAGTTAGGCACAGACACAGATCTTATACGGCCACGTATCATCAAAGTAAAAAGCCGTTATGATTCTTTGAAACACAGACATTCCATGTTAGAGTGCTGGGAGAGTTACAAGCCTCCAAGTAGCTTTCAGCCAAGATGATAACAAGGAATGGAAAAGACATTTCATACATTTTTCATTTGTACTTGTAAATAAATGAATAAAAATTATTTAATGTTGTTGGTTTCGAAATTGCTGTTTACAGGCAACTAGGTTACATGGAGCTTTTACTGAGGAAATACAACAGTTTAAAAAATATATATTTCAAGTTTCTAGTGAACAGAATGTAGTAAATTAAAACCCCCAGCAGGCATGAGGTGGGCCAGTTAACTATTTGGGCATAGGCTAGGAGCTGCAATACCTACAGATATAGCTACCAACAGCTAATGGTCATTGAAAGACACAAACACGGGCTCTAGACATTATTTTTTTTAGCCTTGCTGGGTCTAGCCTTCAAGCAAGTAGGTGGGCATAATTGAGTGAAAAACAATATGGATGAGAAATTCGCCCTCAAGGAGTGCCGAAGGCGAGACTTTCTAGGTGGGACCGGGGAATGGTACTGGTTCAGAAGGCCAGGAAATCCCCCTTGTGTTTACGCCTTGACGAATGAATGCGCCACAGGTGGAGACTTTCAGTACCTTTTTCAACTAGACTATTAATGGAGTCTCCTGGCAAATTACTTTCGCTCCAATCCATTGCTGACCACATCGGAATTATAGTGCAGCTACCACGAGGGCGTCGTAGCTGTAAGTGCCAGGCATACATCCAATACATTAAGATTTAAAAAAAGTAATTTAACGGCATGAAGCTCCTCCAGCATTGAAAGAAATTAAACCCAAAAAGGAAACATTGTACGACATGTTACCACCACGAGTACTGAAAATGTCTGAGGAACAACCAGGGGTACCCAACGACAATTTTCGGAAAAATATCTGTTCGGAACGAAGAAGATTTGAGATCTAGAATTTTCGGAACATTTGTTGTAAAATGTCTTGCTTGCCTGCCTCTCCTAGGATTTTCGAACATCTAAAAAATGGTATAATTGCCTATTTTTAACGGATTTTTACCCTAAAAAGGTCACCTATAATTTTCGGGAGCCTTTTTTTCTGGCTGAAATTTTCGAAAAGGTAAGTTTTGATCCCTAGTTTTCGGATCACTAGACTTTCAGCTAGGAAATCCGAACAGATGAAAAATTTTTAGGGGATAAAAATATGCCTTTATCTACCGTTTAATTACTAAAATTCGTTCAACAATGCTATGTTTAAGTGGTTTTGAACTATAATCTCGTTAGGTGCCCCTGAACAACTGGTACATTTTCCCAAGAGTAAAATCTGCTGCGTACAGAAAACTCTCACATAGGTTTTTCAGACCCTACTTATGGTCGAAGTTGAATATAAGCAACAGAAATGAGACATCCCTAAAGAGATTCATAGAAACTATACATAAAGAGTAAGGATCTGGAAAGAGGAGTGGTACAAGGGGAAACATATAAGGAATGCTACCAGGAGCCGATTATCCTGTAGCCTGCAAACAGCAGACGGATTTCCGGTCCTCGCCTCTCTCCCTCCGACCGGAAATATGTCTGCGGTTCGCCTTTTTTTGGTTGGCATCCTTTGAAAGTGAAATCGTAAGGGTTATTTATTTATTTTATTCCTTTTTTTTATTTACCTTTTCTTCGTTTGATGCATGATTGATGCATGGGTCCAAAACGACAGACCCCCAGGTCAGAAGCATATAACCCCGATCGGGGGAGCGAAGGGAAGGTTATATGCTTCTGCCCAGGTTCAATACAGCCCAAAATAAGGCCAGGTTGCTAAATATGTATTGCTTGGATATTGCGTGAGAAGAAATTTACACGTGCCAAAACCGACTAAAGACTGCAAAAGTAGAGGAAAAACTCGACATAGTCTCTTGTTGTAGTTTCTATGCTACAGAGGCTATTGATCTCAAGGCTTCTTTTGAACAAATTTGGACAGTTGACTACAGGCGGTGTTGATCTTTGCCTGAGCAGGCTTAACCTTGTTCGTGAACTCTACACAGGAAATATGGCTTCCAATGCGAATGGCCCGGTTTCCGCAGACGATAAATTTAATTTGATCACGAGAAATTTACAGGTTTGTTTGATCCTTTTAGTCTTAACTTAATATATTTTGACCTGGTGCGCTTCAGTTACTTACCTGAGTTCCACACTACTCATTAAGTGGTTTTAATTTCTCTTTCGTTTTCGCTTTCCCCTCTCCCTAGTTTCCCGCTTTACCAAAGGCCTGTTCACAGGCTACCTATTCGGGGAAACGTTTTCACTAGTGAAGACCAAAACAAGTTGGTCTGGGCGTCCGTTATCGAGGTTTCTAAAAGGCGAGAGTTGATTGTACTCACGTTTTTACTCTTTTTTCTATCAGGAGGTGATAGGGGAAGATCGCTTGAGGTCCTTGTTACAGGAAAAACATATTTCTTTGTACTGGGGTACTGCTACCACAGGAAAACCACATGTTGCTTATTTTGTACCAATGACAAAAATTGCAGACTTTCTGAAAGCAGAATGTGAGGTGAGTGATTATCTTTGTTTTCTGCTCCTTCCGCCTGCTTATGTCAGTGCCCCATTACATTAAAAAGGCCTAAAGAGACAGAAATGTTTTAGACTACTGAGCAGAATTCAAGCAGAAATTAGGTATCTGAGCAGAATTTGAATTTTCAAAGAGAATAAACTATTTTTATTAGCATGCCAAGGGTCAGAATGAAGCAATTTTATTTCAAATTTTTATTCAAACGCACATGGTGACCATGAAATCAGAAACATTTTCAGGGATGCTCGGAAAAATTAAGACCCATCACTTCTGATTAACTGCTCTCCTTCAGAATTGCGTCTCATTTTTCTTTGGTGAACCAAACTAAGGGGGAATCTGACTTGAGACCAGGAAAGACTTCACCACTTGGGGTCTTTCTCATTTCCTTATTGGGAGAAGTAGGTTTACATATGTTAGCCTACACTGCAGACAGAAGTAAACTTCTGGTCAAGTCTGTTTGTGAAATAGTGCTGGGATCCTTGTTCTAGGTCTCCACCTGTGTACCAGGATTTGAGTATGTGCCATGATTGGCCTATTTAAAAAAAGCCGTTGTTAATAATAATTTACGATTTGCTAATCTGGTTGAAGGGAAATTTGAAATGCATTTCTGGTAATTTGTAGTGTCTATTGGGGAACCAGAAAGAGGATAGCGGAGCTGCTTTGCAGATGTTACTAACTGGGGTTATATGAAGATTGTGTCTGCAAAACAGACTAGCTAGTTTATGTAGGAGAACTGCCTATGAGTCAAAGAGTTACCTGACCTACTTTATCACAGGCAGAAATTAAAACCATTGCAAGGATCATATCTCAGAAGGGTACAAGGATAATCTCCCAGGAGGTTCACAGGTATAAAAATGGAGGCAAGGGGCAACAAGTTCAGATATTTGAATAACCATACATAAAACACAATTCAGGTGGATTGCTACGTTCTTGGTGTTGCTGACAGGTGCAATCACCACCCAGCCTAAAGATTAACAAAACACTCCCTCCCCCCTCAAAAAAGGAAGCAAAAAGAATATACGTAGCCATTTTAAGACCTAAGTAACCCAGTGTGAGATAATGTGAGGAAGTGCTAACCTCTTAGCAGTTAATCAGAGAAATTTGCAGCTTACAATGTACATCGATCATTATATTAATGTAGTTAACATTTTTGTTTTTTTAGACGTGTACATGTTGTCTGCTGGTTTGTTTCATTCTACTAAATCAAAAATTCTTTTTTTAGGTAATAGTTCTGTTAGCTGACCTTCACGCATACTTGGATAATCTTAAAGCACCCTGGGAGCTGTTGGAGTACAGAGTGAAATACTATGAGGAAGTTATCAAGGTTAGACAAAAATTATCAGACTTTTTATTACCAGAATACTGATTTTTAAGAAGAACTTGGTCTAGTGTGGTCTCTGTAAATACCTCTTTATATAAATGTTACAATATTATTGATTCAAGTTAAAATTTTTGAACCTAGGTTGGTCCTCAGTTTGCTTTGTTTCCTACCCCTAATTGTTCATGAATTAGGGCTAGGAGACAAAGAAAATCGAGAATCAACTTACAACGAGGGACAAAAGTGTTGACACACTTCGGTAAAATGGCCCCATTTTGCATAGTGGATATACTTATCTCCTTCCCCTGTCTACCCCAACCCCTTCCCCCCAAAATCAATGTTGAATTTTGGACCCTCAAGTCTTTTTTTTTACTTCAGACAAAATTGATTCGGGGGGTCGGGGGATTTATGGCGTCTAAAAGGAATGAAATAATAAATGAATTAAATGTTTGTTAAAAGCACCCGTTTTAAAGAAGTGTGTCAACTACTTTTGTCCCTTATTGTAGGTTACATCAATGAATATATTTTGTAATTTTTTTTTATATTATTATTATGATTATTATTGAACATTTTTGTCAGTTTGATATGCTTTAACTTTACACACGTTTTTTTTTTGTTATTTGTACAGTCAAACCTCCTTTCCACAATGGCCTACAAGGCCACATAGATACACTTATTTGTACAAACTGTGTGGCAATGATGACATTATATTTAATAGTGATTGCATAATCATGATCTTAATGGTCAGAATAGTTTTTTTGGGAGTTAATCACATATCCTCACTGGCCGATCAACTTGTAACTAGCCAAAATAAAAATTATGCACATATAACACTTTTAATATGATTTTTTGTTTGAAAATTTGATTTTCTCCTACAGGCCATGTTGGAATCAATAAATGTTCCTCTTGAAAAACTAAAGTTTGTCAGAGGAACAGAGTATCAGCTAAACAGGTGACTGAAACCTTCACTTAACTAATTTCAGTCACTGATTGCAGTTTAAGCTGAATCTTTGTTTTTTTAATAAGAAAAGAATAATTAATATATATTTACATGTACAAATAAAGATAACAATAAGATTTTTTTTCCTTTTTTTTTGTCCGGCAGAGATTATATTTTGGATGTTTTCAAAATGACCACAGTGGTCACTGAGGTAACTTTCTTCTCACATGTTCTTTTTCTCAGTATATTTATCATAATTATTATGATTAATAATGATTGTTTATTAATAGTAATAAAATTATTGAGAGGTGGCAATCCCAACATTTCATGCCATATCATCAATATTATTTTGAAAACTAGATCTGTAATAATAATTTTATGACGTGAATCACTCAGTGAAGAAGTTCATCTTGCATCTATATATTTTTATTATTATTTTATATTGTTTTTTTATTATTATTTGTTACTGTTTGTGGCTCTATCCCTCCTTCGTTGGGAAATTATTCGAGGGAACCATAGGATAGGTGAATACAGTGGAGGATATTAACTTACCACAAAGCAGGGATGTAAAAATTCACCATTTTTGACAAATGCTTATTATGTGGTTTGCAATTTTCCTCCTTGATTCCTGCAGTGCAGTCCTCTACCTGATGAGTTTTTGTCTTTTATTGTCAGCATGATGCCAAGAAAGCTGGGGCTGAAGTTGTAAAACAAGTGCAACATCCTCTGTTGAGTGGTCTGTTGTACCCTGGGCTACAGGTGATGAACACTGATGAATATCTTTGTTGTGAACATACTTTCCCTTTTGAATTAAGAGGCCCTATTTGGGTTAAATTCTGACACAGAGCATCGCTTTGAAACAGTTACATACCATGAAGACAGATTAAACCAATAATAAAAAAACCTGAATTACTCTGAAGTTTAGTGATTAGGGTTAGGAAACTGAGTGAATCAGGTTTAATTTAGGGTCAGCAAACTGACCTAAAACTTGATTCACTCAGTTTCCTTAGCAGATATCTTGTCAAAGCCAGCTGCCTTTGGGTTTTTTCCAGATTCTAGATTCTGGTTTTGACTTAGGAACAGAAGGTCTGAAGGAACTGAAGCACGAGTTAGGCACAGACACAGATCTTATACGGCCACGTATCATCAAAGTAAAAAGCCGTTATGATTCTTTGAAACACAGACATTCCATGTTAGAATGCTGGGAGAGTTACAAGCCTCCAAGTAGCTTTCAGCCAAGATGATAACAAGGAATGGAAAAGACATTTCATGCATTTTTCATTTGTACTTGTAAATAAATGAGTAAAAATTATTTAATGTTGTTGGTTTCGAAATTGCTGTTTACAGGCAACTAGGTTACATGGAGCTTTTACTGAGGAAATAAAACAGTTTAAAAAATATATATTTCAAGTTTCTAGTGAACAGAATGTAGTAAATTAAAACCCCCAGCAGGCATGAGGTGGGCCAGTTAACTATTTGGGCATAGGCTAGGAGCTGCAATACCTAGATATAGCTACCAACAGCTAACAGTCATTAGAAGACACAAACACGGGCTCTAGGCATTTTGAGCCTTGCTGGGTCCAGCCTTCAAGCAAGTAGGTGGGCATAATTGAGTGGAATTCAATATGGACGAGAAATTCGCCCTCAAGGAGTGCCGAAGGCGAGACTTTCTAGGTGGGACCGGGGAATGGTACTGGTTCAGAAGGCCAGGAAAGCCTCCTTGTGTTTACGCCTTGAAAAATGAATGCGCCACAGGTGGAGACTTTCAGTACCTTTTTCAACTAGACTATTAATGGAGCCTCCTGGCAAATTACTTTCGCTCCAATCCATTGCTGACCACATCGGAGGATCTGGTGTGTGTGACGTAACAAAAGAATATTATGGTGCAGCTACCACGAGGGCGTCGTAGCTGTAAGTGCCAGGCATACATCCAATACATTAAGATTTAAAAAAAGTAATTTAACGGCATGAAGCTCCTTCAGCATTGAAAGAAATTAAACCCAACAAGGAAACAAGGTACGACATGTTACCACCACGAGTACTGAAAATGTCTGCGGAACAACCAGGGGCACCCAACGACAATTTTCGGAAAAATATCTGTTCGGAAGAAGATTTGAGATCTAGAATTTTCGGAACATTTGTTGTAAAATGTCTTGCTTGCCTGCCTCTCCTAGGATTTTCGAACATCTAAAAAATGGTATAATTGCCTATTTTTAACGGATTTTTACCCTAAAATGGTCACCTATAATTTTCGGGAGCCTTTTTTTCTGGCTGAAATTTTCGAAAAGGTAAGTTTTGATCCCTATAATTTTCGGATCACTAGACTTTCAGCTAGGAAATCCGACCAGATGAAAAATTTTTAGGGGATAAAAATATGCCTTTATCTACCGTTTAAATACTAAAATTCGTTCAACAATGCTATGTTTAAGTGGTTTTGAACTATAATCTCGTTGGGTGCCCCTGAACAACTGGTACATTTTCCCAAGAGTAAAATCTGCTGCGTACAGAAAACTCTCACATAGGTTTTTCAGACCCTACTTATGGTCGAAGTTGAATATAAGCGACAGAAATGAGACATCCCTAAAGAGATTCAAAGAAACTATACATAAAGAGTAAGGATCTGGAAAGAGGAGGGGTACAAGGGGAAACATATAAGGAATGCTACCAGGAGCCGATTATCCTGTAGCCTGCAAACAGCAGACGGATTTCCGGTCCTCGCCTCTCTCCCTCCGACCGGAAATATATCTGCGGTTCGCCTTTTTTTTTGGTTGGCATTCTTTGAAAGTGAAATCGTAAGGGTTATTTATTTATTTTATTACTTTTTTTTTTATTTACCTTTTCTTCGTTTGATGCATGATTGATGCATGGGTCCAAAACGACAGACCCCCAGTTCAGAAGCATATAACCCCAATCGGGGGAGCGAAGGGGGTTATATGCTTCTGCCCAGGTTCAATACAGCCCAAAATAAGGCCAGGTTGCTAAATATGTATTGCTTGGATATTGCGTGAGAAGAAATTTACACGTGCCAAAACCGGCTAAAGACTGCAAAAGTAGAGGAAAAACTCGACATAGTCTCTTGTTGTAGTTTCTATGCTACAGAGGCTATTGATCTCAAGGCTTCTTTTGAACAAATTTGGACAGTTGACTACAGGCGGTGTTGATCTTTGCTTGAGCAGGCTTAACCTTGTTCGTGGACTCTACACAGGAAATATGGCTTCCAATGCGAATGGCCCGGTTTCCGCAGACGATAAATTTAATTTGATCACGAGAAATTTACAGGTTTGTTTGATCCTTTTAGTCTTAACTTAATATATTTTGACCTGGTGCGCTTCAGTTACTTACTTGAGTTCCACACTACTCATTAAGTGGTTTTAATTTCTCTTTCGTTTTCGCCTTCCCCTCTCCCTAGTTCCCCGCTTGACCAAAGGCCTGCTCACAGGCTACCTATTCGGGAAACGTTTTTCACTACTGAAGACCAAAACAAGTTGGTCTGGGCGTCCGTAATCGAGGTTTCTAAAAGGCGAGAGTTGATTGTACTCACGTTTTTACTCCTTTTTCTATCAGGAGGTGATAGGGGAAGATCGCTTGAGGTCCTTGTTACAGGAAAAACATATTTCTTTGTACTGGGGTACTGCTACCACAGGAAAACCACATGTTGCTTATTTTGTACCAATGACAAAAATTGCAGACTTTCTGAAAGCAGAATGTGAGGTGAGTGATTATCTTTGTTTTCTGCTCCTTCCGCCTGCTTATGTCAGTGCCCCATTACATTAAAAAGGCCTAAAGAGACAGAAATGTCTGAGCAGAATTCGAGCAGAAATTAGGTATCTGAGCAGAATTTGAATTTTCAAAGAGAATAAACTATTTTTATTAGCATGCCAAGGGTCAGAATGAAGCAATTTTATTTAAAATTTTTATTCAAACGCACATGGTGACCATGAAATCATAAACATTTTCAGGGATGCTCGGAAAAATTAAGACCCATCACTTCTGATTAACTGCTCTCCTTCAGAATTGCGTCTCATTTTTCTTTGGTGAACCAAACTAAGGGGGAATCTGACTTGAGACCAGGAAAGACTTCACCACTTGGGGTCTTTCTCATTTCCTTATTGGGAGAAGTAGGTTTACATATGTTAGCCTACACTGCAGACAGAAGTAAACTTCTGGTCAAGTCTGTTTGTGAAATAGTGCTGGGATCCTTGTTCTAGGTCTCCACCTGTGTACCAGGATTTGAGTATGTGCCATGATTGGCCTATTTAAAAAAAGCCGTTGTTAATAATAATTTACGATTTGCTAATCTGGTTGAAGGGAAATTTGAAATGCATTTCTGGTAATTTGTAGTGTCTATTGGGGAACCAGAAAGAGGATAGCGGAGCTGCTTTGCAGATGTTACTAACTGGGGTTATATGAAGATTGTGTCTGCGAAACAGACTAGCTAGTTTATGTAGGAGAACTGCCTATGAGTCAAAGAGTTACCTGACCTACTTTATCACAGGCAGAAATTAAAACCATTGCAAGGATCATATCTCAGAAGGGTACAAGGATAATCTCCCAGGAGGTTCACAGGTATAAAAATGGAGGCAAGGGGCAACAAGTTCAGATATTTGAATAACCATACATAAAACACAATTCAGGTGGATTGCTACGTTCTTGGTGTTGCTGACAGGTGCAATCACCACCCAGCCTAAAGATTAACAAAACACTCCCTCCCCCCTCAAAAAAGGAAGCAAAAAGAATATACGTAGCCATTTTAAGACCTAAGTAACCCAGTGTGAGATAATGTGAGGAAGTGCTAACCTCTTAGCAGTTAATCAGAGAAATTTGCAGCTTACAATGTACATCGATCATTATATTAATGTAGTTAACATTTTTGTTTTTTTAGACGTGTACATGTTGTCTGCTGGTTTGTTTCATTCTACTAAATCAAAAATTCTTTTTTTAGGTAATAGTTCTGTTAGCTGACCTTCACGCATACTTGGATAATCTTAAAGCACCCTGGGAGCTGTTGGAGTACAGAGTGAAATACTATGAGGAAGTTATCAAGGTTAGACAAAAATTATCAGACTTTTTATTACCAGA